ATCACTATCCCTTTTGCATCTGGACCTTCTAGACCATCAAGACAGAGTTTGAAGGAGGCATCCTTTAGGAAGCTTTTCTTGGTTCCCCCACTTTGAATGAAGTACCTTTGTTAGTGTCTTATTCCATTATAGAACTTACATTGCTGAATTGTAGTTATTTGTTTCTCCTCAGCAGACTTAAGATCTTGGGGAGGTTTTAATTTTGAATTCTCCAGTCCTTAGCATAGTGTCCAGTAAGTGCTTGTTAAGTGGCTGCTTGACTGACTCTTGCCTGAGGATGAGACTTGGAAAAGAAGCCATTTTTCTAGGTATTAGAAGAGAAGTGCTAAGACTTAGCTAAGACTTAGTAAATTTACTCTATACTTCTCTGGACCCTGCGGGAGAAGGGACACAAAGGCAGATTTTTCAGGTCAGTATCAGGGAAGAATTATCTAGCACATATGTTAGCAATGGAATGGTCTGTCTTATGTGATAAGGATGACCATTTGCTAGGGGTGCAATTGGAGGAAATTGCCAACTATGTTTCTGCCTTGTAGAGTATTCCTGCAATGTGTGGAGACTTACTAGGTCATAGAAATTATATTGAATATGTCTGCTTTCTGGTCATGTACTGCTTTCCAGATATCTGAAGGCAATAGCTAGGCCTTTTCATAGTTGTCTCCAGGCCTAATGTCCCAGTACCTTCAGCTGTTTGTTGTGTGATTTTGTTTTCAGTTGTWTGTAATCCTGGCAGCTCTTTTATGGCTATGCTTATTTGTCAGTGTTCTTTGTACAATGTAGTCCAATGACCTGAACCTAGAGCCCCGAGAATGCTTGGACAAAGCTGAGAACAGTAATCTGCTTCCTCCTTTATTTTGGGTATTTTCTTAAGCAGCCTAAGTTGTCTTGGCTTTTTTGGCAGCAGCCCTATTGGCATATACTCTGTTGTCATTTGTGGGCAACTGAAACCACTAGATCTGTTTCATGTGAGCTGCTATTAAGTTACTCCTCACCTATCCTGTACTTGGCTGGGCAGTTAGGTTTCATTATGTGATTTCATCTTATTTGCTCCTGGAATGTTGTAGCTAGAGCATTAGAAATAAATTTTATTCATTTTTGGTCTTGTTTCTTTTATTTCTTTGTTTACACCCTCTCTCTTTGCCCTACACCCACCCTAAGCTTTATGCTGTCCAAATTTTGTTAAGCGTTTTTTTTTTTTTTAAATCTTCATTTTATTTATTTATTTATTTATTTTTATATGCTGCTAAGGATTGAACCCAGGGCCTTGCAAATGTAGGCAAGCGCTCTACAGCTGAACCACAATCTCTGCCTGTAAGCAGGTTCTTCAGCCAAACTATTCATGAAAATACAGAGCAAAGCCATGGAACGCATTGGAAACATTTTCTCTAAGTGACCTCAGTCCATTTCTCAGCATTTTTCAAGCCGATTGTTCTGTTAACTGTCTCTTTCTTAATTCTATTACATGGACTTGTAGTTTTCATTTTATTCACAATATATTCCTTTTCAACCATGGTAGGTGATCCCTGCCTACAACATGGGGAGATGCAGAGGTGATGAGAATCCTGAAAGTTACAAGCCAAGAAAGACTTGGAAGGCAGCTGGTGCCTGGGAACTCATTTTATGAATTCTAGTTCCTCTAAGATTAAAGGGATCTGAAGATTGTCTTGTCTGTCTTCACATGGATTAGAAATAATTATGAGGTGTCAATTTCGTCTCTACCAATATACCTTCTGGTGATGACACCCTCTCAACTAAAACCAAAAGGTAAAACCAAAAGGCAGTTCCAACAAATATGGATGAGCTCTTACTGTTAGCATCCAATTTCATCTTCTATACTGTTGAGCCTTGTGGAGAGATAAGTGGGATGTTGATAATTTTTATCTTCTGTCAGAAAAGCTGGGATTGTCTCTCACTAAATGTTTGCTGAAGGAATCAGTGAATTGGTTTCAGGCTTGTCTTTAGTTTCAACTTCATATTTTCAGATTCAGAGAAAGTAGAAATAGCTTTTGTTTTCTCTATCCACCTGCCCAAATCCAAGCCTCCTTCAGAACCAACAGCACTCTGCCTCTTCCAGAAAATCTTCCCTGTAGTTCCTGCACATACTGCTGCATCTCTCCTTTGAACTCCCATGTCAGTATTTGATGCTTTGCTTCACTGCCTAATTTATGTATTTATGTCCCATCACCCATGTTCTTGGAAGAGATGTCAGGGTGAGGCTTGCCATTATTTTTGTATTTTCCGTAGTATTAGGTACAAGTGTTTAAAAGAACTATTAACCAAATGTGTCTGCATAAGCATTGCCACCAGGTGGCACCAGAGTCCCTGCCTTTGCCAAGCTAGCCATTAAAAATGCCTTCCTTAATGAAGTTTCAACTTATTTACTAGACAAAATGCCAATAAGTATTATGTCTCCACTTTCCCAGGAAGTCTAAGATACAGGGCTGCTTAACAGGACTTTCAGATGTTAGAACTTGAAGGGGTTTGAGAATCAAGTCTTCCTTCAAAGGGAAAGGACCTCCTTGGGTTACCTTGATGAGTTGGAGGCAGAACAGAACTAGAATCCAGGTCTACTAGTTTCTACTAGGCCATCTGGCTTCAAAGGGCTTAATTCCATCTCTAAATTTCTCTTTCTCTCTCTCCCTGTCTCTTTGTCCTCCTCTCCTATTTTCTTTCTCTCTTTTTCATGATGTGATTTAAGTGACTTTTTCACCCTAAAATTTCAAGACTGATAGTTAAAAAATAAGATAAGATTTTTTATTCCTTTTATACTGATACCCAAACTTAACTCCTAATTATGTCTTTGTCCAACTCAGAATATAATCCAAGTTCTCTACCTCTCACTTCATCTAAAATGTACAGAGCTGCAGCTTGTACAGAGAAAATTATCGTGTCCTCAGATACCCCCTCAGAACGTGCTGTAGATAACATTGATGGGCAATGTGGAAGAGGCTATTAGAGCATGCTGGTTTTTATAAAAACTGGATGGAGACTAGAAGTCCTGTTCTTTCTTAAGACAAATGTGGCCAGACTGTGGGATTTAATTCTTCTCTAGTCTCTGGGCTTACTGTCTAGTTAACAACTGCATGAGTCTGTTTAAGCAAACAATGTGAAGAACAAAGAACCTCCTTCCATTCCCTTTTGGAAATATGATTCTGGTTGTTTGTCCCCTTGTTATCCATAGTTGATTGTTGTGATATATTTTCCTGGTTTCCTCCCAGTATCTCCTAGAAAAGCAGCTGGAGCTTGGTGCATCCACACTTTGTATATAAGACCAGAATATTCTAGAGTGTTTTATTTGGAAGAACAGTTGTGGGTTCCAATGCAGTAGAATTGTTATTGTGGCTTGCATGATTCACTGACCAGCAGTCAGCACTCTTTGACTCACAGAATGGGAAACTCTAAAGCAATGTGGTACTGCTCACCATTCTCTTCTCACCTTTTATCCCCTTTCTCTTTTTATCTGTAAAATAGCACTAAAAAACTCAGGCGTTTTCTTGCAGAGCAGTGAGTGAGGGAATGATAGCAACAGACAACCACTCACTCAAAAGAAGCTAGCTGTACACTGTACTCTCCAGTGTTAGCCACCAATCACACCTAGCTATTGAGTACTTAGAATGTATTATAAATATGAAATACACATCAGATTTAAAAGTACAAAAAAGTAAAATATTTCTTTGATAGTTTTAATATTTTGGGGCTATGGTATAGCTTAGTGGTAGAGCACAATGTTTAGTATGTTCAAGGCCCACGGTTCATTCCCCAACACCAAAAAAATAACTTTAAATATTTTGTTCATGTTGAAATTATGATATTTTGGACATATGGGTTAAATAAACTATATTAAAATTAATATCACCTGTTTTTCTAATGTAATTAGTAAAAAAAATTTATTTATGTGGCTTATTGGATTTCACTGGTCTAGAAATCCCCAAGGACACATACTTTTTTAGTTTACTATGGAATATCAGAAAACTAGCTACTACTTTTCCTTTCTACAGCTCTCCTTTTTTAAATTAAAAAAAAAAATTAATGTCCTTGAATTTTATTTGGTGACTTCAGGAAGAAAACCTCCATTAGGTACTACCTTTTTTAAAAAAAAAAAAATATCTACTGCTCATCTGAGAATAATGACATCCAGTTAAAGCAGGGTAGCTGAGGGAGGAAGTTATGAGGCATTGGAGAGCAAAAGATTGGTGATTACTCCAAACTTTTAGAATTAGAATTGTTCTATGTATTTGTAACTCTTGAGATAACAAGTATAAGTTACACATCTGAAGGAAGGTAAAAAGACACTCTTTAAAAAATACAAGTGTGTCTCCATCTTAGGAAATCTTACTCCAGCCTAGTCTTATTTTTCTTTTATTTATTTATCCAAATTTATTGAGGGCCTGTACTGTGTTAGTTTACTAGCTTAAAGGAAATGAATGATTATGGCCAAGTCATTGCCCTTACGCAACTTATATAGGTAGCAAATGAATTTTAAACCCCCCTTATTATCTGGATAAGCTCTGTAATGATGGTAGAAAAGAAAATACTTTTGGGGAACTAGAAATCATGGCTAATTCTCACTGGAAGGGAGACTGAAGGCTTCATGTATCTTGGTTGTGTTATTATCAGGCAGAAAGGAAGGTCGGACAACTTAAAGGCCTAGAGAGTGGTAAGAGATACCCTACCACTGGTATCTCCTCCATTCTGTCCTTACTGGATACATGGGGACTAACAAAGAAGTTGTTGCTCTTGCTGTCTCAGCCAGGCAAGAGATAGCAAGAGCTTAAGTGGAAAGGAAAGAATATATTCAAGATACAGTTGAATGAGGGATGAAAGGGAAGATGCAGTCATGGTTCCAGGTTTTTAACTTTGATCACTAGTGGGGTTGCCTTTATTCAAAACTGGAAATGTGGGATAGGATCAGGCTAAAATAGAAAACAAGCTATCTGCACTTGTAGGTAGAGCTGCAGAGGGAGCTGGCTAGAGCTGAAGTGCTTGTGTTTGTGTTTCAGATGGTGACCCTCTTTCAGATGTGGGTTGTTCCCCTCTATTTCACAGTGAAGCTGCACTGGTGGAGATTCCTAGTGATCTGGATCATCTTCTCTGCTGTCACAGCCTTCGTCACCTTCCGAGCCACACGGAAACCTCTAGTGCAGACAACTCCAAGGTGAGAGTTTAGGCAGTGGGGAAGAGCTTGGGCTTCCTGAAGCTAATGTGCTAGAATGCATGAGAGGAAGATGGGTTTAGACTGAAAAAACTGCAGTTTTTGTCTGCCAAAAGAATTTGGTGTGGGGCCCCCTCTAAAACAAGCTGATTGGGAGACCCACACCCCTATTCATAGATTTAAAAACCTCAGATATTGTAGCTTATTTTATGGTTATATCCAAGGTCTGTTTATATCAAGAGCAAATAGCGGGGCATGGTGGCACATGTCTGCAATCCCAGCTACTCGGGAGGTTGAGGCAAGATTGCAAGTTCAAGTCTAGCCTGGGCAACTTAGCAAGACTCTATCTCAAAAATTAAAAAAAAAAATAAAAATAAAAAAAGAAAGAAAGAAAAGGAAAGGAAAGAAAGGGCTGGGGAGCTGGAGATGTAGCTCAGCGTCAGAGTACCATTGGGTTCAATTCTGAGTACCACAAAAAAGCAAGTCCTGGTGATCTTTGTGGTCTCATTTTAAATGTTATTTTCTGTGAACCCTTTTGCTCTCTAAATTAGATTTTCCATTTTATTCTCTCGTAAGGCCCTATAGTTTTCTTTCATAGAACTTATCACAATTTATAACAAAATATTTTTTTGAACGTCTATCTCCGCCACTGAACTGTTTGTATAAGATCAGGAACCATATCTGTTTTGTTGGTCACTGTATATCCAGACCTTGCCACAAGGGCTGGCACATAGAAGCCTACTTTATAAATTTTGGTTGAATGAATGAATCAGTAAATTTGCAATTTTCCAATAAACAGTAATTCTTTCTTGGATTACAAAGGGCTGTTGCCTATATACTTCTTTGTACTTTATACAATTGCATTTCTTGTTTAATCCTCCCAACCAGCTTGTGAGGTCATTTAACATTTACTTGACAGAAAAAGAGATTTTTCTCATTCATTCATTCAATAAGCACCTGCTATGTGCCAGGCCCTGTGCTGAGCGCTGGGGATACAGAGCTGGATAAGACATGGTCCCTGCCCTCAAGGAGTGCTCGGTTTATTGGAGGAGATGGATGAGAAAGCATCTGTTGCACTGCAGTTGGTAAGTGCTATGAGAGGTGTGCACAGGTCCAGGATAGCCTAACAGGGGAACTGGCCAGCATCAAAGTTGAGACCACCTGACTTAAAATGATTTCAAAGTTGCAAATTGCTCTTCTTTCTGTTCTTCTTTACTGCAAGCTTTTCTCTGGTCTTCAGAGTTTCAATGTACAAGGGAAAGTTGGTGATCCAGAAGTCCCTCTCTGGGCCATGATAAAGGGTACATGTCCTGGAGCCAGATGGCTAGAGTTGTAGCTCAGTGGTAGAGTGCCTGCCTAGCACGTGTGAGGCACTGGGTTCAATCCTCAGCACCACATTAAAAAAATAAATAAAAGCATCGTGTCCATATACAACTTAAAAAAAATGTGATAACTGCTACCTCATATAGGGTGATATAAAGAAAAAGTGCAATAAAACAAAATGTTAAGAGCTACCAACTGACAAACAGCATTGACTTCTAAATGAAATAATTTTTAAAATGTGTCAATAGTATGGAAATATTTTATAATAACTAACACTTGATAGTGCTGTACAGTTTCAAAGCACTTTTATAAACATCCTCATTTATTCACTCAGTGTTTAATGAGCATATTGTACCAAGAAATGGGTTATGTTAATGAGGTGAGAAAGGTAATGTCGTTTTCCCATTTTACAAAGAAGTAAACTTGTCTCAAAGTGATTTGAGTTAACAAAGGTACTTAGCTAATTCCACCAGTGATTTCATCTTTCCTTGAATTCTCTTTCCTGACAAGAACAACTAGCCTTCCCCATCAATCTTTTGAGAGTTATTAGGTTTCACTTCCTCACCCAAGTAATCTAAATTTGAGATGACATAGCTGTTTTAGATCAGCTGTGCCCTTTCTTATGAGACTGAAACTTCTTTTTAGGAATCTCTTTCTTTTGCTTAGTCTTAGACCAGGAAAATATAAAGCAGTAGTTCCCTGAAGATGTTTTAGTAATTGAGGAAGTGAACACCCTTGAACAGTAACACAAATTGCTCAATAAGTCTTAAGAATAGACCTGATGTCCCTATTTATATGAAAATAAAGAATTCTGGGGGTTGGGGTTGTGGCTCAGTGGTAGAGCACTTGCTTAGCACATGCAAGGTCCTGGGTTGGATCCTCAACACCACAATAAATGAATGGAATGAATGAATGAATGAATGGTGTTCAACTACAATTAAAACATAAATATAAAAAAAAAAGAATAAGAAATTCTGGTGGTCTAATAGATCTGGAGGCCGGTGTCTCTGCATCAGCTCTACTGAGTATTTTATTTCCTTTCTCCAGGTTGGTTTATAAATGGTTCCTGTTGATCTATAAAATCAGCTATGCCACTGGCATCATTGGCTACATGGCGGTCATGTTTACCCTCTTTGGTCTTAATTTATTATTCAAGTGAGTACCTTTTGCTTTTGGTCTTGCTGATGTTTAGGGAAGAGTGGCTAGTGAGATGTCCTTTCTTGCTGTAGTAAGTCTTAACAAAGGGAACATGACACCCAGGATAGGAGACGTGGGTACAGTGGGGAGAAAGGAGATGACAGGCCTTCTGTAATTTGTACTGGCAGAAAGCAAGGAATATTTGGATATATACAGACTCAGAGTCTCAAATCTTTGGTTATATTTTCCAAAAAATATGTATTTTAGTGGGAAATTATAACAAAAGTAAGTTTAATAATGATTATAACCAGTTGCCCATAATTCCTTAACAACAATTTTCCTTGTCCACATGCTAGTTACTGCAATATCCACTCTGCTTGAAATGCCTTATATTCAACTATACCAGGGACTGGCAGAATACATCCTTTGGACCAAATGAATCCACTTCTTGCTTTTATAAAGTAAAGTTTGATTGCAACATAGTCATGCTTCAATCATGCATAGTCTGTTTGCTTATCATCTATGGCTATTTTTGCCTAAAACATTGGAGTTGAATAGTTGTGACAGAGACCATATGGGCTGCAAAACCTAAAATGTTTATTGTCTGGCCTTAACAGAAAAGGTTTGCCAAACTTTGGGCTAAGCAGTTGAACTCATGTGACCACAGTTGGCCACACCTGGTGACAGGTCCACTTAGAATGATACAAAATAGGAAACCCAGCAAGGCAGTGTTTGCAGGAGTCTTCACAGTCGTCTGAGTGTTCAGGTATGATGGAACCAGTTAATACTGATGGATGTGGGAACCATCTTGGTCTGTGAGCTGTATCCCCCTAGGAACACATCCAGTTTCCAGAATATCCCAGATGCAGTGTACCAATCACAGGTCGTGTTTAATATATAGGTGGCATTGCCTGTAACACATCTGACATTCCACCTTTGGAGGCAATTCTAGGAAATTAGCCTGTGGACGCTCAAGTCCTGTGCCATTATTGGACATTTAAGTTATTTTTAATTTTGTACTATCACACCATGGCTGTGTCACTTCCTAAGGTACATTTCTTGGCTGTGTCACTTCCTAAGGTACATTTCTAGGTATTGCTTTATTTTGTCCTAAGCTCTCTAAAAGCTCTCTATCAGTTTACAAGTCCTCCCACCCCTAATTGAGGCAGAAGCCAAGAATTTTGAGCTTGGAAATTGGCGGGTACAATGAGTTAATAGGTCAAACGAGGGTGGAAATATGGTTTCCTGGATGAAGTAATGGTGACTGGGCTATTTATCAAAGGGGGTCCTAAGCCTGGGATAGTACACTAAAGCTAAGGAAATTTAGGACTCAAATTTAGATTCATGGATGGAAAGGCAACTGACCCAGTATACTATAGGTGGGACTATCTTGAAACCAAAAGGAGTTTATTTTAGAATAAGTATAAATAAGTATTACTTTATGTAGTGAGAGGATACCCATGGAATCCTTTCTTCCAGGGATAATACAGGCTGAAAGAATAAACAGGCTCCAGAAAGGTTTAGAGGAATTCATCACTGTAGAGTCTAAAACATCTCATCAAAAGAAAACAAAGATATTTCCAGGTATCTTCCTAACCTGTGTGGTTAAAAAAACAAGTCAAGATTCAGATAGTTGGATGCAGTGGTGCATGCCTGTAATCCCATCTATGTGGGAGGCTGAGGTAGAGGATTACAAGTTCAAGGCCATCCTAGGCAACTTAGTGAGACCCTATTCAAAAAAACAAAATGAAGTAAACAAATTTAAAAAGATTCTGAATTTTGTTTGAATGGTATTTTTTCTTTTTCCCTTTTTAGTGGGAATTGGACCCAGGGGTGCTTAACCACTGAACCATATTCACAGCCCTTTTTTATTTTTTATTTAGGGACAGGGTCTCACTAAGTTGCAAAGGGCCTCACAAAGTTGCTGAGGCTGGCTTTGAACTAATAATTCTCTTGCTTCAGCCTCCTGAACCACTGGGATTACAGAAGTGTGCTATGGCACGTGGCTGAAAGGTATTTTTTCTATGGTTGGTTTCTTTTTACTTGCTTAATCTGTACAAGGAGGAGAACAGAATTGAAAATCTTGACCATTTTTATACGGCTGATTATGTTAATTGGTGTAAAAACCATGAGTCTAGTTAGTGAGTTATAAGTTTGATGAACAAATTCAACTTTCTATGATGAATATAATTTACAACTTTAAGTGAGCACATGTAGTTTTTTGTACAAATATTTTAAGGTAGTTTTCTATAATATTTATAGACTCAGGTTTCAAACTTTTGGTCTTTGGAATTATTAAAAAAAATAAACTTCCTAATATTATAAAGATCTTTATTCTTAGTAAATAGAATTGAACCAAAATTTAACTTTCATGGCATTATGCAGAATATGGTTAGATGMAAATTAAATTTTTCTGGTAGCTAGTGTGTAAACATTTAATTTCTTCGGGATAATATGCAAAAATCTAGAATATTATGTAAATACTCATAATATACCAAGACAGGAAACATTTATCTTCTATTACCCTGTCTTCCTGGGGATCTCAGGCACATCTCAGGAGGGAGGTGGGGCGTAGTTTGTACCCAGTTGCCATCAGTTGGAAACAGTCTCAGAAGGATATTTGGCTACCATTTTGAGTTTCTGCTCTTACAGAAACACTAAATCCAGGCATATTGTGCCCTTCTTTTGGAGGGCTCAGCCATTTCAACTTGGGCAACTGGCTCAAGATGAAGCAACTCAGTGAGTTGCCAACTTCTACATTGAAATTCCAACATTTGGTGTCCAGTAGTTGCCAACAGTAGAGTCCCCAACACATAGGCAGCTAGGGCATACTCTGGCTTGGTCTTTGTAGCTGACAGTGCTAATTAACTTCTTTAAAAGATGTCAGTGGGTCATATTAAAAATAGATAGCAAACAGAATTTGATCATAATTTGCCAACACTTGGCTCTAGCTTTTGAGTGATCCTGCCTTGTGTGTCCCAAAGTAGTAATCCAGAGCAGTTGTGTCTCAGGACAGGCTTTATTGACTGTGTTGCTTTCCTTTCAGGATTAAACCAGAAGATGCCATGGACTTTGGCATTTCTCTCCTCTTCTATGGTCTCTACTATGGAGTTCTTGAGCGGGATTTTGCAGAAATGTGTGCAGACTACATGGCGTCTACTATAGGGGTGAGTTTACCTGTGCTTTTAATACTGCCTCCTATCACCTCCAAATTGTTCTGGCTGGGATCTCTTGCTTGATGAAAAGAGAAAAGCACTAAGGGATAAGATAAGCCATATGAAATTCTTCAAGACATGGGTAGAATGCTTGGAAATTCCTTCCTTAAAGTTTGGGAAGCCAGATGTCAGATATCCTGTAATTTTTAACTTTAGGATCATTAACATCCTAGTAGGGGGTTAATAGTCATGGAACAAAGACCTTTTTTTGGCAGTACTGGAAACATACTTTTTTAATGCCTCTGTCTACGTGGACACTGTGCTGTGTGCTAAAATTACAAAGGTGTAAAAAAATAAATGTCCTTATGCAAATAAAGTTTAGTATCTAGTGGGAAAGATGGGTATTAAAGTAACACAAAAATAAGCATAAAATCACAACTTTAATTAAAAAATCATGAAGGAAAGTTTCATGATACTGTTAACAAATATAATAGTGACACACATTTGACCTATTCCTAGGGCTCAAAGATAACCTCCCTAAAGAAGTGACTGTTGAGCTGACTTGAACAATAAGTAGGAGTTAAGTAGATGAAATGTGTCTCATGTAGAGAAATTAGTATGTGTATGAGTATTGTTTGGGGAGCAAGGGTCAACATTTTTGAGGAACTAAGGCTAAAGTGGTTGTAYAGCTGAGAATATGGTGGAAGTGTCTGGAGAAATAGTGGCTGGGCAAGAAAAAAAACCCGTTGGCTAAATTAAAAGATTTTAATTATTGTACTAAAGATACTGGGAGGCTGAGATGAATGACCTTATCAGCCTTGCATTAAACAAAGATTAACTGGCTGCTGGGTAGAAAACATAATTAGGGATGGGTGTATATGTTCGACTGGACCACTTGAAAAGACCCTGGCTGTTATTTGGGCAAGACAAAGGTGACTCTGATTATGGTGGAGACAGTGAAAAGGGAGAGAAGTATTTTGAAGGTAAGTTTGATAAGGTTTGGATATAGTTTGACTCTGGAGATTGAAGGAAAAAATACAAAATGTTGGTATCAGAGTTGGTGCTTGTGACCGGGCAGTGTTTGGATGGTAGTGCTTTTTGCAGAGTAGGAAATACTGAAGGAGGACTAGGTGCTGACCATGGAGAGATACTTCAAGCTTAAAATATGGGTGAAGTAACAGTCAATCTGAGAGACCCAAGTGCACATCCTTAGTTTTTTTTTTTTACCAAAATGGAAATATATTTTTGTTGGTTTTTATTTATAAAAATGATGTGTTCTCTTTATAATTATTTAAATAGCATAGAAGTGCTCCCCATCTTAGTTTCATCCCCTCACACCCCAGCCAAATAAACCCATTCCAAGAATGAATATTTCCATTATTTTTCTGGTAACTAAGTACAATTTTAGGCCAAAAGTTTGTCAGTATGATGGGGCTAATTTCATTTTTCTTAAACTGGATCAAATTGAAAGCAGTGTGTATTGGATCATTTTTTAGTCAGCTGCTCTAGTCTGAATATGGTTTGAGTGTGTTCCCCAAGGATTTATGTGTAGGCAGCTTGGTACTCGGTATGATGGGGCTGAGCTTATAGGACCTTTAAGAAGTGGGGCCTAGTAGGAGGTCATTAGGTCATTGGGTATGCCCTTGGCAGGGATTGAAGTAGTTCTTGAGAGATTCTGAGTTAGTCTTGGGAGACCAAGTCATTGTTAAGACTGAAATCAACCCCTGAATTGTTCTCTAGTTTCCTATCTGGATGTGATCTCTATTCACATGGTCTCCATAATAGATTTTGTAGGTTATTTGTAGTAAAATATATATAATATAAAATTTACCATCATAACCATTTTTAAGTGTAGAATTCAGTGACATTAGGTACATTTATATTGATTTATATTATTATTCTGCACCCATCACTGCCATCCATCTCCAGAACTTTTTTTTCCCCCCTAGTACTAGGGATCAAACCCAGGGGCACTCTACCACTGAGCCACATACCCAGTCTTTTTTTTTTTTTTTTTTTTTTTTTTGAGACAGGATATCAGTATATTGCCTGGACTGGCTTGAATTTGTAATACTCCTGCTTCAGCCTCTGGAGTAGCTGTGGTTGCAGGTGTGCCCCGCTTGCCCAACCTGCAGAACTTTTTTCATCTTCAAAAACTGAAAGTTTTTATCTATCAAACACTAATTCCCCTACCCTTTGCCCTTGGCATAACCATTCTGCTTTCTGTGTCTATGAATCTGACTTCTCTAGGCACCTCACTTGACATAATATCTTCGGGGTACTTCCATGTTGTAGCATGTGTTAGAATTTCCTTCCTTTTTATGGTTGAATTTATTTATATGCGATGCTGAGAATCAAACCCAGTGCCTCACATATGCTAGGCAAGAGATCTACCACTGAGCCGCAACCCCGGCCCTAAAAATATTCCTTGGTATATTCATAATCACATTTTCAGTCCTAATAATTTTGTATAGGCTTTTGCACATTTTGAGATCACATCTCCTGTGCCAGAGTCATAGTTGATTTTTTTAGGTGTTTCCCCAACCAGTCCTCAAGATCACATTAAGAACTAGATGATTTGTCTCTTGATCTGCAGCACATCTGTCTCTGAGAATGGTTTGATCTGAAGAGATCCTTTATTTATTAATTTCAGTGTTCCTACAAATGAAACCCTGAGTTTTTTCAATTGTGTTCATAAACATTCTCAATTCCTTCTTATTCTACATTACCCTATTTAGTGTAGAACAGCTCTTCATTTTGCCTCACATGGAGAAGTCTGTAATGTGAATTAAAGTAACTCTTCTTAAATTGAATCAGGGGACTTTGGATGGAATCTGTTCTTTCCCTCTGGTCACTGAGATCATAAGCTTGTGACAGCTAGTCAGTACCATTTCCATTTACAACAAAGGTCATGCTGTGGTGGAGGGTAAAAGATTGTGAAATAAGCCTGTTTCTGGGACTTCTTCCTCTGAAAGAGTTATTGGGAAGGCAAGGGAGACACGTATTTTGTGTTGCATTGGTCCATATGTCCTCCCTCACACTTTGTTCTGAGCCAGTTGCTGTGCCCCCGATTTACCTCCTGGGAACTTAGAGGACCCATATTATATCAAAACAGGAGTAGCTGCCTACTCACCATCTCTACTTAAAGTGGTGGAAAGAACTAGGGGTTTGGAGTCAGCACCCCCAGTTTTAAATTCTAATCTAATTAGTTATATACACTTGAGCAAGTTTCTTTACCTCTCTAATCTCTACCAACTTTTCCTATTAACCCTTTAAACAGTCTTTTAATTAAAAAAATCCTTGACCCACTTTCTCCTTTTTCTACTAACTTATTTCCTGTCATTCACAGCTAAACATAGAGAAAGTTCTTGTCTTAGCCAGGCATGGCAGCACATACCTGTAATCCCAATGATTTGGGAGGATTGTCCATTTGAGGCCTTCCTGGAACTAAGAGATCTTGTCTCAAAATGAAAAAAAGAAAAAGGGCTATGGGAGGTAGCTCAGTCGGGGAGAGTCTGTGGGTTCAATCCCCAGGTCTGGGAAAGAAAAAAATTAAGAAGTTCCTGTCTCTGTTTGATCACCTTTCATTCATCTGTAGCCCATTCTAATGTGGCCTTTGTTCATAACCTGCTTCTGAAAGAGCTTTTATTYGGGTCACTAATGACTGTGCCACTAATCTTGGTGGACTTCTCAGTTAACAGTATAGTTGACTCAACTAACTATTCCCTTCTTAAGAGTCTTTCCCCCTTGGCTTTGGTAACTTTATTCTGTCTTGGTTTTCTTTTCCTCTGATATTTCTCATTTTCCTTTGCCAATTTTTCCTTCACTTCAATATTCCTCTGAGCTCAAACCTGAACCATCTTTTTTTTTTTATTTGTTCTTTCTCATTATACATGACAGTAAAATGTATTTTAACGTATTATACATACCTGGAGTATAACTTTCCATTCTTGTGGTTGGACATGATGTGGAGTTACACTGGTTGTGTATTCTTATATGAACATAGGAAAGTTATGTCCAATTCATTCTACTGTCTTTCCTGTTCCCATCCCCCCATCCCTTCCCTTCATTCCCCTTTGTCTAAGCCAGTGAACTTCTGTTCTTCCCACCTCACTTATTGTGAGATAGCATCTGCATATCAGAGAGAACATTCAACCTTTGGTTTTGGGGGACTGGATTATTTCACTTAACATGATAGTCTGAGCCATCTTCTTTACCATTTGCCTAGGTATTTCCTTTTCTCTTTCCATTGTTGTCACATTACTATTCAGCTATTTGGCATCTCAGTTTTCACTGCCACCTAGTTAGCCTAAGCTATCACCTTGGCACAGGTGCCATCAATCTGTTGCTTTTAAAGAATTGTAGTAGTCTCTTAGCTGGTCTCTCTGAATTCATGTTTATTTTATCTCTAACCCGGTCTTCCAGGAAGTCAGATTGATAGGTTAAAAATTTGAGTCTAATCATGGTGTAACCCTTTAATGTTTATAACTTGTTCTTATTTTATATGGTTTATATTTATTTTTTAAATGTCATTCTCCCCAAACTGTCTGTTCCATGAAAACTGACTCTAGGTCTATGTTTTTCCAGCATTATATTCCAAGAACCTAGTCCTGTGGCTGTTACTTAGTAGGTATCCATTATATTTTAATGAAAGAAAGAAGGAGTTTGGGCATCTTATTCAGGGTTACCAAGATAGTGACAGGTGATTGAAATTAGGTCTGTCTAATATTGCTGCATTACATATACCCCTGAGCACTGAAGGATCAGACAGACTTTTGAGTTAAACTAAAATCTGCCTCCCTCCTTGTACTTGCCCAACTTGACATCAGTGCCTTCTGATCCGAATTTATCCTATGTAGTTTTTTTGACAATGGGATTGCTGGTCTGGCTTGACAGGCATAGCTGATAACTTTGTTAAAATGGTTGGAAGGATTTTACCCTGTGTTCCTGTTGCCATGTTGGCCCCTTGTGGAGTAACTCTGGGAACCAGTGTCCTAACAGACATTTCTCTGTACTTCCCTTCTACTGTCAGTGCCTTATCCAAGTTCCCTTTGCTCTTGCGTTTTTTTGTCCCAGTATTCCAGAGGTAGAACTCTGGCATGAACTGAGGGGAAACTCTTCCTCAGAACTCCAGTCCACCTCCTCGGGTGGGATGTACCTAATTCTTTTACTCCCAGAGGCCATGGGCCAGAGTTAGTTGGCCCTCTTCCTTTGCTACACATGATTTATAGGGACTCAGTGCTAGRACTGGACCCAGACACTTTGGTCTGTCCTATTTCTGCTCAGTTGATGTATGTAGGAATTCTAAGCCAGATTACATCCCAGAAAAGGCTTTTCTTTAACGTTCTTTTGACTCCATGTATCATTTGTTAATTTCTTTATTCAGGAAGCAAGTAAACACACAAATGCATGCAGACATTTTGTGGAGCACCTCTTATATTCTGATACCAGGACAGATTTTTCCTGAGAAAGTCCCACCTTCCATTCTTAGTTGATGCTAGTGTGTCTTTCCTGAAGAATAAATCAGCTATCACGAACTGCCCATAAGGCCCTGGAGAGGGTYGAAAGCCCTTTCAACTTTGGAGAAATGGATCTCAGAGGTGCCCTGCAATGTTAACATTACAAGAGTTTAGCTTTTGAGAGTTGCATAGATTGTAGACTCCACAGGTCTTTGCCCTGCTCTCTGATTCTAGCTAGGCTTTCAATTGCCTTTTACATTTTCTTGTTTTGGCAGTACAGGGGATAGAACCCAGGGTCTTGTACATGCTAGGCAAATAATCTGCCACAGAGCTACATCCCCAATTTGCCTTTTGCACCTGGAGCCATCTAAGATTTTTCAAACAGGTAAAAGCAAGAAGTTCTGTATTCATGGAGTTTTGAGACAGTGTGGTTGGCATCTCTCTCTCCTGACTTTGAGGACTCTTAAAATCAGGCTGCAATTTTTGTTTAGAATGGTAAGGCAGACTTTTCTCAAGAGGGGCCACGACAATAGATATAGAGACCACTGCAAGGTCTGGGGATATAACTCAGTGGAAGAGTGCTTGCCTAGCATGCACAAGATCCTGTGTTCAATCCCCAGCAATAAGGGGAACAAAACCAAAAAGGACCACTGCAATGGAGTCTTGCAGCAGGGAGAGAGATTGGGCAGTAGTTCTGATGGTTAAGAGGGGCCATTCCTCAGAGGACAACTTAGGAGGAAAGCCCTCAGCTAGGTTGAGTGAATGTTATAGCAGGTACAGCTGTGTCCTCTCTAGAGATTCAGATATCATTTTCCCTACTCCCTGTCCAGTACCCATGTGCCCTCTTCCTCTGCTGTGATCTCTCACCCAGTTTTGAATTACGGAAAACTTTGGCTTTTTTAGAGACAGATGCTTGGAACAAAACAAAACAAAAAAACACCAGCAATCACAAATTAAGAAAATGCAAAAGACTAAGTAGTCAGTCAACCTCCCAGGTACAGAAAAATTGTAATAATAAATGCAGGAGGCTTTTAAAGAAATTCATTATACAGTTTTTCGACATGAAAAAGTTCTGGAGATGCACAGCAATGTGAATATGCTTAGTACCACTCAATTGTACATTTATAAATGGTTAAAGGAATGAAGGTGTAGCCCAGCAGTAGAGCTTGCCTAATATGAGCACGATCTTGGATTCCATCCCCAGCACTACAATTAAAAATAAAAAGTCACAATCCCAGTACCAAAACATCACCAGTGTAAACATTCTGACATTGTTCCTTCTGGGCTTTTTTTTTTTTTTTTTTTTTTTGTACAGCTTTGGCCTCATCTTTATGTATGGTACAAGTCATGCTATGTGTCCAATTTTATGCCCTGCTTTTAGCACTCAATGCTGTATCTCATTTGATTACTTGGGGATTTTACTTTTGGTTTGTTTGTTGCAGCACTGAGGAACAAGCCCAGGGCCTTATTTAATGTTATTTCTTAAGGGGCAGTTGACAATTAGTACCTTGACAGTGTACCATAATTTATTTAGGCATTCTTCTATTATTGGTTGATTGGTCATTTATAGTTATTTCCATTTCTTTGTTTATTGTCTCTCTTTTTTTTTAATCTGAAGTTGTGGATATATATTGTGATATAAAATTCACTATTTTAACTATGTTAAGTGTACATATTTAACTATGTTAAGTTTGGGTATAACAATCACAATGTTGTGTTCTCATCATCACTGCCTACCTCAAATTTTTCATCACCCTAAACAAACTCTGCTCATTCAGTATTAACTCCCCTTTACCTCTTGCAGCCAGTTCTTGGTTACCTCTAATCTATTTTCTGTCCCTGTGAATCTGACTACTGTAGTTAATTTCATGTGGGAAAATCATAATATTTGTCTTGTCATTAGGCATCTGGCTTCTTTCACTTAGCATAATGTATTTAAGGTTCATTGGTGTGTGGTGTGTATCAGAACTTCATTCCTTTTTATTACTGAATAATATTCCATAGTATGAATATACTATATTATACCCATTCATCTGTTGAACAAGGGTTTGTTCCACTTTGGGGCTATTATGAATGCCACTATGAGCATTATTAGCATTTTATTCACTGTTCAATTCTTGTTTTCATTTCTTTTGGGAATATACCTAGGTATGGAATTGTGAGGTCATTTGATAATCCTGTTTAATCTCTGTTTTTCAGTGTGCTGGGGATTGAATCCAGAGACTTGCACATGTTAGGCAAGCACCCTCCCACTGAGCTATACTCCCAATTTATCTAACTTTTGAGGAAATGCCAAACCCTTTGCTTCTTTAATTATGAATAATGCTTAAATTAATATCTGTATGTGTGAAGATTTTTTACATTTTTATTTATTTTTTTTAATTCCTTAAAGTGAAAGTAGTAGATTCAAGGGTGCAGCAGTTTGAGACACGCTGCCAAATGTGATTCAAAAGAATTGAATCTCCTTTGCTGTTGCTGCAATTTTCTGAGAATGTTCTTGTCACCAAATCAACAGTACCCCCACTATTTCACTATTTATGTTGGGTGATCTACCATTGAGCTACATCCCCAGCCCTTTTTTTTTTTCTTAACATTTATTTTTTAGTTTTAGGTGGACACAGTTTCTTTATTTTATTTTTATGTGGTGTTGAGAATCGAACCCAGTGCCTCGTTTACGCTCTACCACTTGAGCCACATCCCTAGCTCCCCTTTTTGTTTTGAGACAGGTCTCACTAAGTTTCCCAGGTTGGCTTTTGAACTCATGATTCTTCTGTGGCAGGCTTCTGAGTCACTGAGATTACAGGCATGTGCCATCATGTCTGACTCACCATTTTATTAGTGGTGTGGAGAGACTGAACTCAGAATCTTGCTAAATTTACCAATCTGGCCTCAACCTTAAGATCCTCCTGCCTCTGCTTTATAAGTAACTAGGATTACAGGTATACACCACAGTGCCTAGCTTCACTATTTGAAATGTTAGAAAATGTCTATCTCTCATAGACTCATATAGCCACACAATGACTTACCTGACTTAGCTCCTGATTATCAGCTCCTCCTCCCTCCCTTTTCCCCTGTCCTTGGTGCTGACCCTGGGCAGCCTTTGGGTCCTGTTATATCTAACTTTTCAACCTTTCTCTGGTTTGTCCCTTTCTCCCCATCCATCCAGCAACGATGAGCTTCACTTGGCTTAAAAGATGTCCTTTAGTTCCCCTGACACTTTGCCTCGTCTCCAGAAGACCTCAGGCCTCTGTGATGCCCCCCATTTCAGTGGATTCTCACAGTTTTTCCTGTCCTTCCCTCCTGCTCTCCTCCTCCAGTTTTACAGTGAGTCAGGCATGCCTACCAAACACCTTTCGGACAGCGTGTGTGCTGTGTGTGGGCAGCAGATCTTTGTGGACGTCAGTGAAGAGGGCATCATCGAGAACACATATAGGTTGTCCTGCAATCATGTGTATCCTGCCTTAAGCTCCTGGACCACATCCCTCTTGAGACCGCCCTCCATTCAGGGAGGGAAAGTGGGTGGTTGTGTCCCTGAGCATGCCGTACAAACCTTTGAGTGCTGGAGAGCCACAAGAGGCTTGAAACTGCAACCATCCTCCTCCTGTCCCACAGACTGCAGCCTGTCTTAGTGCATGCAGTGGTTATAGACTGCCTAGGTCAAAGAGAGCCTGAAGCTGCACTAGTGAGGCTGAGCTCACTGAACCAAGATTGGATGTCCCAGGGGTGGAGGATCCTCTAATAGGATCCTTCAGTTTAGAATCAGATTTATTCTGAGTAACACTAGTAATATTTACCAAAGGTGTTTATTCAGCTCTCATTTTCTGCCTATGTTGGGAGATCCACAGCTTATCTCCATTTTGCCCCTTAATAACCCTGTAAGATCTGACGAGGGACGTGCCCAGAATTACACGGCTGATAAGAAACAAAGCCAGGCTTTGAATCTTTCACAAGCTGGTACAAGGCACCTTGCAGACTAGCAGGGGGCTGAAGTGCCATCCTGGTTTCCCACCATTTCCCTTGACCTGTGGTGTTCAGATTCCATGAGTTCTGCATCCGTGGCTGGTGCATTGTTGGAAAGAAGCAGACGTGTCCCTACTGCAAAGAGAAGGTAGACCTGAAGAGAATGTTCAGCAACCCGTATCCTTTGTTTGGGTCCTTGTGGGAAGTGGGTGGTAGGAAAAAAGTACTGGCCAACATGACTCTGTGTCTGGATCTCTCCCTCCTGCCTTCAACCTGGAACATGTTCAGCATTCAGTTTGGCTTCTCTTCTAGGGAAATTAGGGGTGTGACATGAGGCAGGATTAACTGCTCACCTTCCCATTATAAACTGATAGTAATAGCTGCTGTCATTCACTATTTCCTTTGTGGCTCGTGCTGTGTTAAGTACTTCTTGGATTAGTTCATTTGGTTCCTTCGCAACTTTATGACCTGAGTTCCCCTTTTTCTGCTGCATGGTTCCCAGTCCCTTCCTCTCTATACACTAGCTCAGGTACACAGGGAACATTATGTTCCTAGTGTACTCATTATAGGCCCAGAACAGGAGATTCTGGCCTCTTCCCTTTCACATTTCCTGCTTGGTTCTTCCAGGGCCCCGCTCAGGAACAAGCATAATTCCACAGCCAAGCTGAGGCTTGAGACTTCCCTTATTTCTCAGAGACCTGGGCCAAGCTAATCTCTCCAGTGTTTTTAGAGGGATCCCTCCACAGTTTCATGAGCTTCTCTGTGCTTTCCTCAGAGCTGGCCTTCCCAGGCCCCCTCTCCAGACCCCCTGCCCAGCATTTAGATGTAAAACAAAAGAAAAGGAAACCCATTTCCTGGCCTTATCAGGGTTTGGTTCTTAGTACCCTGGATGGCTCCTCCTTAGAGTCTCTGACAAGGTGATTCCCTCGTGACTAGCCTCTGTCCCTGTTCCTTTCTCATTCTGACCCTGGACTCAACCCCTTCCTCAACTGAGACAATCTTCAATTTTGGACATTAGAAGAATATTCAGGTTACCCTATCCTACTCTTTGCAGCTATTGTCACCAACACATTTATAGAGTATCTAAAAATGCCAGGCTGTGTGTTCTCACACTGGCAATTCTATCTTAGAGTGTTGCCTGGAGCCCCCCCCCCCCCCGCATGTTGGTCATGGAGGGCCATTTCACCCTTTTACTTCTCTGATGTCTGTCCTGTCTGCCCCCACAGTCTCCTCTGTCTTTCTCCCCTATTCTCTGGGTTTAGATGACTTCACTCCAATATGGAGAGCTACAGAGAGGATGGGCAGTTTGCAGAGCAGCTGGAAGGTGTGGTAGACCCAGGAAAGGCTGGGGACTCCTTCCTCCCAAATGAGATGAACTCGTAGCTCTTGGATGTATGCATCTGATCCTTAACCCATTGACAGCTGGGAGAGGCCTCATGTCATGTATGGACAACTGCTGGATTGGCTTCGATACTTGGTAGCCTGGCAGCCTGTCATCATTGGCCTGGTGCAAGGCATCAACTACATCCTGGGCCTGGAATAGTCAGGAACACAGCAGTGGAGAAACCACCCCACCCACCATGGACCTCAGGGCACTCTCCTCCCTGCCCATGAAGACCTCCTGGGTGGGAAAGACTCAAAGGGGCGCTTGGGCCACTCAGGACCCCTCCGGCTGTGTCCGGGCCCGGGAGGGAAATGGAGAGCCAGCCTGTGGGGCTGTCAGCAGTGGGGGGCTTTTTAAAAGAAAATTATTTTGATGAATATATTTAAAAAAACTTTTTTATTGTGGAGCGTAGGAGTTGAACGCCCCACCCCTTCGAGCCTCACCTTGCTTGAGTAACATGGGAGCACAGCCATGATGCTTTTGGTTTAAAGGAGTCTTCTCATCTCTGGCTGAGAGCGCTGGTGGGTTCTCAGGTAGCAGAGAGCCTCAACCCACCCACTCCCTTTCCCTTGCCTTCCCTTTGCAGGGGTCATCCTGGTCCACTCAGTGTGCAATGGTTAAAGAGCTTCAGTTGTTGCCACAGATGAACACTGAGGGTCCAAGTGTCTTCCCTTCTGCCCTGTCTGATGCAGGATGGATGTTGTATGGACTCTCCCTCCCCCTGACTAGAAGCTAAAGGCGGGGTGAGGCAAGTGGAACCTCTTCAGTGACTCTTCCAACAAGGGAAGCCCTGGGGCCTCAGAATTCATTGACAGTGTGTTTGGGGACAACTAGAATAATCAACAGCATGAACAACCTGCCCCTGAGCATGACTGTAGTGAGGCAGGAAAAGAGGCCATCTCTATATACTTAGGCCACGGAAGCCCAGAAGTGGTGACATGCTCCAAAAGCCACTCTGCCACATCACTTCCTTCCTGAAAGCCTGAGGGAGAATGAGTATGTGTTTGTATATGCGAGTGTATGTATGTGTGCGTGCGCAGCAGAAGGGTATCCTATGTCAACTTCCCCCAATCGTCAAAGACAAACTTCCTTGAAGCTAATAGGGGATTCCTAGCCCAGGGAATATCCCTGTGTAAATTCTGTCACTYGTGGGCCTGACAGTGGGAATGGTGGATGGGTGGGAAGAAGGATAAGGCCTAGGTGAGTTGTAAAAAGGGGCTTCCATCCCCCCTTTTCCTGAAGAAATCGTGAAGGCAATCCCGGGCTGACAGTGCTTGCTTTCTAGGGCAGAGGGGCTGTCAGGGCTGCCCCTTCAAGAAACAAGCAGGATCTTGTCACTCCTGTCTGAATAAAGCTCTGTGAGCTGGGTTGGAAAGCTGAATATCCATCTGGCTTTTCTTCTTCCTACTTCTTTCCCTGGGGTCCCTGGGGGTGTCTTCACTCTACTGCTCTCATCTGAGAGCTGGGGCCTGAGGGCGGTTGGTGCTGCTTTTTTTGCTGTTCCCTTTCCAACATCCCTGGAGTGGTAGAATGCTAGGCTTCTGACTGGTGACATTAGAAGCCTTGGGGCGTCATTGGGCCCCCTTTCAGTCTGAGGTGGCTCTCCATCCTCACTACCTGAGGTCAGTACTTATCACCACCCACCCTCCTCCTGCCACTCTCACCCAACGGTGGCTTTCCATTACCTCACTGCTCATGCTACCTGTGGGCGCACCATCAGAGGGGAACGAGGACTGGTTGAAGTGCTCAGAGATCACTCTTTCACTTTTATCCCATGGAAAACTTGTGAGTAGCCAAGGCCAAAGTTTGTTTTTATTCTTAGTCCTGAGTCCCATGACTGCCCCAGTGGCCTGCCTCTGGTCTTGGTGACATACCGATGTAGAGTTTCTGGCTCCTCTCTGCCAGGTGGTCTTGCCTCTGGACCTAATTCCTAGAGATACAGTGAGGCGTTTCCCAGAAGCCTAACAGCAGAAGGTAGAGGGAGGAACTGAGAGGAGCAGAAATGTGAACTAGACATCTAGAGAAAAAAAAGAGGATGTGACTTTTGACATCATAAATTAGGAATATGAGTCTGATTTTTTTTTTATGTTCCTGATGCATCCTCCAAGTCCAGTCCATCTCCCCAGCCTCCCTGGCTATTATCACCAGCTGTCACTCTCCTGATCAGAAATCACAAACCTCAGACAGAGCTGTTGCACACACTTGATACTTGCATACATTGTAGGATGGATCTGATCTGCCTTGCACAACACTGAGAGTAAATACTGCTTTAGATTTTGCCTAACCCTGGTCCTGGCCCTGCCACAACCCCAGCTCCCTTTATTCCATCAGAGATCAGAATCATATTTATGTAGCTCTCCAAGCTGCTAGAGCCTGTGTTGGGCCACTGTTTCACCAGGAAGTGCCTTCCCCTCCTCCTAGGGCCAGCTTTCAGCTTATGTTAAGCTTGACTGTAAGATTTTCTGCAGACGAGAGGAAAGTACTCTTGGTGTACTTCCTGTGACGTGGCACATGGGGGTAGACACAGCTGAACTGGGCTTTGCAGCTCCGAGGAAGGAGCTTCTAAAAAGGAGGACTCTTCAGGACTTCTTGGGAGCCAGGTAGGGGGTATTTACACTACTAGTGACCCTCGACTGTAGCTCTGGCCAAAGGTACTAGGACAAGGGAAGTGAGAGGGTTTGTGGGTGTGATAGAGGGTATTGAGTGATGTAGCTGGTTGGAGGTGAGGGAACCTGAGAAAGACCAGGATGGTGATAAGCTGGGAACCCCAAATTGGAACATCATCTTAAGCCTAAAATGATCGGTGTTCCAATTTGGGGTTTCCAGTGCCTAGAAATGTTGTCCCCTTAATTATCAGTATGAATGTAAAAGAGGAAGCAGAAGCCTGCTCAACGGGAAACAAAGACCTGGCTCTGAAGGATGGAGGGGAACACCAAAGTCCTGACTCTTGTCTGGGTCAAAATCGATCTATGAGAGAATCATCTGGTTCACACGTAGGTGACCTGAGCAACGAGATGGATATAAGACAACAGTTTGCTAATTGGAGAACAGGGGCCCAAGAGTTAATTGGATCATTTCTGGGCCCTGGAGCATTGGTGTAAAAGGGTGCAGTACCTGCCCCTCTTAGTGGCTTAGTGCCTGCTTTGAATCCCTGGTTAGAACAAAAGTGAAAGTGAAACGGGTGCTGGGCAGTACTTTCCCAGAAGGAGTTCACTGCATCCTGCCCTTCTCAGAACCACTCCTGACAGTGGAGAGAGCATCACCTTCCTTTGTGACTAGGTAAGTCCCTGGTCCCTCTTGGGGCTTGTTTCTACATCCCTAATGCAGGGGTAAGATTGGTCTAGATAGCCATCACATTAATGTTAAAAAGAGTTGGGTGGGTCAGATTGTCACTAGTGATACCCAGCTTGTATCTGCATGACAGAGCTCCAGCCTGGGAGTCACTGGGAAAGATGGACAGAGTAATAGCAGTGGCCTGGCAGCCTACTGAATATTTCAGACCCAAAGACCAGCTGTGGAGTTTATAAATCCTCATGTATGACTGGGATCTAGAAAGACTACTGAGAAAACGTGGTTGTCACCCACACTTCCCCATTCCTAACCTTTCCCCAGAGAGGAAGAAGTCACAGATATATAGAACCTGAGCTTGCCAGCTCCTCATGTACATCACGACCATGGGACAGAACTGGATACCAGGTGGGACTTGGGGCTGTGCATGGAGGGGAATTGGGTGGGGGTTGTGAACAGAATGGAGCAGTGCTACCATCTACACCCCAGGTGAATTCCACCCAAGTGCTATTACTGGGGTGTGTGTGTGTGTGTGTGTTTTGCTGGGGATTGAACCCAGGGTCTTGCAAGGCAAGCACTCTACCAACTGAGCTATATCCTCATCCCATGAGTGTTGTTGCTCTTAAGTTTCTATCTAGATACTGTGGCTCTGGCTCCATTCGAGGGCTTCWTTGTGCTTCATTCAAAGGCCTAAAGGGTGGGAGCCGAGGAGTCTGCCCCTTGGATTCCCTGAATCTGGGTCACAGTCTTTACCCAGGCAACAATTTCATCTCTGGTCAAGACAGGAGCTGACTCTGACTGTCCTCTCCTTAGACTCCAGTTCTTTGTGGGTACTGCTTCTGTATCTTCACATCGTCACTCTTTTGGCTGGAGCCACACCTGTTCCTCAGACTATCACAGCTGCCACTGCCTCAGCTGGGATTTCCAAGGACCCTAGCCCCTCTTGGTCTCCAACACTTCCACCAGCTAAGCGGTGCCCAGCATTGGAGGTGACCTGGCCAGAAGTGGAAGTGCCACTGAGTAAGGAGCAATTATGTTAGGATCCCAGGACACAGTGGCCAGAGGGTAGAGATTGTCCACGGGGTTGGGTTGACTCCAAAGTTAACTTTTCACCTGCTGTGTATCAGTACCCAGGCCAGCTTGGCAGAGTGCTCACTATTCTGACCCCCAACCTGGCATCATGGTGTGGGCTCAAAGCCCAGTTCCCAAGACGACCCCTTTCAAAAGGGACAGAGATAATTCAGACTCAGAATTGTAATTGCCTTGCTTGTAAATGTACTCTAAGGTGCAGCCCCTCTACTCAGAGCCTGCCTTCCCTCTGGCCATCTCAGAAGAGCATCAGCCTGCTAGCACTGAGCACTTGGCCTAGGTGCCTAGAATCTCAGAGCCTGGGCACTGGAAAAGGTCATCCTGAAGAAGCAGCTCAGAAGTGGAATACGTGACCTAGGACCCTTCCCCACATACCCATGCGTAGGCCTAGATAACTGTACTTCCCCTTTATAGGCTTCTCTGCAGCCTTCCAGGTTCCTGATTTATGTGTCTGTGAGGAGCTGGCAGGGTGGGGAGAAGGGAGAGCCTGCTCTGCAGAAGGGCTAACAGCCACTTGTATCCCCAGATGGAACGCTGACCTTGTCCTGTACTGCCTGCAGTCACTTCCCCGACTTCAACATCCTATACTGGTTGGGCAATGGTTCCTTCATTGAGCACCTCCCAGGCCGGCTGAGAGAGGGCAGCACCAGGTGACAGGGTGGTGAGGCCAGCGGGAGGGAGGGCTCCCACTGCAGCTCTCAACACACAGCTTTTCTTTCCCGTGTTCCAGTCGAGAGCCTGGAATTAAAAGCACTCGACTGTGGAGATCCTTGGTGCTAGAGGAATTGAGCCCTGCCCTGCGAAACACCATCTTCTCCTGTGTGTTTATGGACCCTGGACAGGTTGCCCAGCATCATATCATCCTGGCACAGCTCTGGGTGAGGAACCCAAGGGAGGCCTCCAGGGACAGGTCGAGCTCCACTTCTGTGTGGGGAAGAAAGGAAGGGAAGGCCCRTCAGAGAAGCCTCCAAGTTAATGCCCCCATTTTCCCTAAGGTCAGCCTGAGGCAGGAACAGAAAGGACTTGAGGTCTTGGGCAGGGGAGGCATGGCCTGGAGGAAAATGACCAGATGTCCTTCCATTCCTTAACCCTGATCCTTGTCTGCCTTTACTTTTCCAGGCTGGGCCGAGGGTGGTCCTGCCTGGCCCTCAAGAAGCCCTGCCTTCCAGCCAGAGCCCAGGTCCCCAGCTGCCCACATCAGCAGGGTCAAGAGTGAGCACAGGGCCAAGAATAGCACCACCGTGAACAGAGCCTGGACACTTCCCACCTGGAGGGCAAAGTCTTGGCTGCAGGCTGTGGGCGAACGAGCGGCTCCTCTTCTCAGATTCAAATGTCCTTCCCACCCGCCTAGAAAATCCCAGTGACCTCCCCTTACGGCTCCCTCCTCCAGCTTGCCTTTCTCTTCACCTGTCTCATTAGCTTTTCTATGTCCTACTCGTCACATATCTCCTGCTCAGAAACCTTCAAGACCTGTCCAGCACCTTAGCCCAAGACTCACATGTCCTTCCCGAGCACCCTTCCTTGTTTCTAAGATGGCTCCCACTCATGTGCCTTTGCGCCCTTGGTCCTGTCTTCCTTGCCATTCCAACAGGTGACCCTGGAAGCCTGGTTGAAATGCCACCTCTTCAGTGATGGCCACACACAGCTCTGGCCACATGTGGCATTGATTTCATGTTGCCTACATGTATATATTATTTTTCACCTTAATGAACTATCCCAGGGAAGTGGACAGTGGCTGCTTCTGATCCCTAGCAGGACTCACAATAAGTCCTCATAAAGGATTATTCAATGGAGGCATCTTGACATCTGCTTAGTCATTTAGACCTCAGTTCCGCTCACAGGAACTTTGCCTGTCCCAGGAGGGAGCATGGGAAGAGACGGACTGCCACTTAGAAGCCTTAAAACAAAACCAGATTTAGAGGATCATAGGCCCTCAAGAAGCCCTTTAAAAAAAAAAAAAAAAAAAAATTGCTCAGGAACAGAGGCCAGAAATGGAGTATGGGAAGATCCTGGGGACAGAGGAAGGCTCTAAGGAGCCTAGATTTCCCTCTTTCCATACAGATCAAGGCTGCTTAGCACTCAAGGGAGAAAAATAGACTTTATTTACAAGAAATAACATTTAAAAAAAGATCCATCCCAGCCCTTAAAAACCTTCCAATCACTCCAAATCCAACCCCAGTGCAAGTCTGGGGAAGGTAGGGTATGAGCTGCTGTTTAAGGCTGCCCTCCCACCCCACCCCACCCTACCCTAGCCCTGAGACCCAGGGCCCATTTGTCCTGGAAAAGAACATTCCTTGGGCATCTGTGCCCTTGTGGAAGAGAGCAGGGGCTCCTACTAGGTCATGCCCAGTCTTCAAGAGCAAGGCCCCACCCCCTGTTAGTCCCAGCCATGGGGAGATACAAAGGCTAGGGCCTGCTCCTCTGGTCCCCTCTAGGCTGGGAGTAGAGTGGCTGGGCCCAAGGATACAGCCACTCAAAGCCAGCCTTATATCTGGTTATAATAGAGAATTGACAGCTCCAACAACAACAACAACAAAAAAATTAGGAGGCAAGGTTGGGAGAGGGCCCACACTGTCCAAGCTCCGAGCCTCCTGGGCCAGCTCTGTGAAGGTCCAGGTACAGGCCAGAGTGTGGGCAGGCATCACTGTCTCTAGGGGTTTGGCCACTATTGGCCTGGGAGCTGAGAGAAGGCACTGAGAGGGACAGTAGAAGGAAAAGGACCAGGAGAGGTCAGCATCAGGGTACACAGGTGGGGCCACTCACTGGTACTGGCCCTTTAGTGCTTTGCCTGAAAAAAAGAGAGAGAGAGAGAGAGTCACATGGTGGAAAACCCTTCCTGTACCCAAACACCTGACTGGGATTCCTTCCTTCATGAATCTGGACACATCTAGCTTCAATTTACCAGTTTCTGGCCCTACTTAAGCAGCTCTGGGTGCTGTTAGTGGGCAGGGGGTTTACCTAGCTCCTCTCTGACAATAAGCTGCTATTACCAGACCCAGGGACACTTCTTAACTCTGCAGTGGCCTGACTTGGCCCTGCCCTGGCTGCTGCCCTGCGAAGGGCCTGTGCTTCTGCTCCTGTCAATGCCTCTACCTTGCCCTTGGCCCGAGGGGTGGTAGTGGCYGCAGAAGCAGTGGCAGCACTGGCTGTGGTGGTGGCAATGCGTGGAGAGCGGCGTGTTCCACTGYGGGTGTTGGGGGAGGCCTTGGACTGGGCCTTCTTTGAGGCTCCTCGTCGTAGAAGACTATTTCCCAGCTTCTTAGGTGTGTTGAGGATGTTGAAGGCCATTGACTGACGCCGGTCAGCCTGTGGGAGAGGGTCAAACTGGGAATTCACGGCTGCCTTCCCGGCCAGCCTGCTGCTCCAAGGCTCAGCCAGCAAGGCTTTGCTAGTGTCTTCTGTCCCCTCCAATCCCAATCTAACCTGTTTTAAAACAGCTTGAGCTTTCTTCTGGGCCTCAGTAGTGCTCTGTTTGCGCCCTTCATGTCGGTCCCGGGGAGTCATGGGGCGTGGGAAACAGCTGGTGGCCTTCTTGGACTGTGGGGAAGAGAATATGACATCCCAAGCCAGGTATCTTGGGTTCTTAGAGCCAAGTGGACTTCGTCAACCTGTTCCCTTTTCCATGGCCCCATCCATGTATCAGGCCTTTGGAAAGAAACCTCCCCTTTAATTCACTTCTCAAACTGGATTAGCTGAGCCTGACCTGGACACACTGCTATTCAGAACAAAACATAGAAGCCACTGTCACCTACCTCAGGGGTGCCAGGGCCCTGGTGGCTCTCTAAAGAGACCCGTTTGCGCTGCTGCCGTGTGGTGATACCAGTGCCCTCAGCAATCTGGGTTGGTTGCATGCTGGCTCGGCGCAAGGTCTCCCGGGGGTCTCCGGTTTTCATCTCTTCATCTGTGATGGTGCCCAGGCTCAGGGAAGGCTGCAGGAGGTAGAAGTTGCCAGTGAGCCCCAGCTGTACAGAAATGGAACAGGAACTGGGCCTACCTCAGAACTTTTCAAATGCCTGACACTTGGAATGATTGAATCCTTCCTACCTTAAAAGGCGTCCCCCTTCCTGTTACCTACCTGTACCTCAGAAAAATAGGCAGGAGTTCCATACAGACTCCTCTCGGAACCCCTACCCACTCACAGTGATTTAATCCTGAGCTTCTACAGCTGCTGGCCATTCCATATGGAAGCATGAGGTGGTCACCCTCCTCAGCAGGCCAGAGACCCAGGACACTAGAGTGTAGGAGTTACTGCACATTGACCCCCAAGGCTCACCCTGGACTCCAGTGGATAGCAGGTCTTCAAGTGTGGGGGGCATACTCGGTTGCGCTGTTGTAACTCTGCAATGCGGTTCCAGTCATCCAGCTGCTCAGGCTCATCCTGGCAAGAACCCATGTAGAAGCTGTTCCTTCCTGTGGAGGGCAAAAAAGTTGTCAGGAGCTGGAGTCAGCAAATTGCCCACTGGCCCTGATACTTTCAGATTCTGCTGCTAGTGTTCCCTTCCACCTACCCCAGGGACTTCTAATCTAATACCAATGCTACAGGGACAGGAGTGAGACATGCTGACCATTTCTATCATGAGGCCTTGGTTGCTGCTCTCTCTCTGGGAAGGTCGTTTGCAGATGATAGGATTAAATATTATTCACTTGTCAAAGCTTGGTGTCTCACACCCAGGAGAAACTAATTAAGGGCCAGGAATTAATACCTGGAGGAGTGGAAGGAGTTCTTGGAGCCCAAATAGCAACAACATCCAAGAAACGTCTGGCCAAGCTAGCCCTTCCAAGAGGCCATCACCAGCTGAGGAGGGCTTCTGACAGGTAACTGTCACTATCATGTGTGAGCACCCCTGGTTCAGACTGTCCCAGCATTACCATAGCTGGACAAGCGAGAGTCTGAGACTACAGGGAAGAAAGGCAGTTGGTACCAGAGCAGCAAGGAAGCAAGGGGGCCAGCCTTGGGATTCTAAAAGCTTGCCTCTTTTTCTTGTACCAGGATCTACTTCTAGTCCTCTTACCTGGTGGGGCCCCACTGGACACCCTGGCCTGGGAGCGGCGAGCAGAGCTTCGAGTGGTGGGCCGGTAGCCAGGCAAGCTAAGCAGAGCTGAGTTGCCATCATCAGGAGARCCCAAGCTGGGTAGAGACTGAGTTGAGGAGGCGGGCCGCAGGGTGGCCTGGGGAATAGGGGCGGACTGTGTACTGTAGAAGGATGAATTGGCACTGTCTGGTTCCTCCACATCTAGCTTCTGCAAGAATATGAGTTGTGTTGATAAAGCCACCTCCCATTCTCTCCTTGAAGCCCCACACCCACTGCCCCTCAAGGGCCATGCATGTCTGCAAATGAGCAGGAAGCCTTTATAAGATGCTGAGCCTATCAAGACTCTTTTCTATCCATTTTTTTCTCCATGAAGTCCTCTAAGGGAAGGCAGGCAGAGTTATCAATCCATTTCAGAGGTAAGGTATAAAGAAATAAAGTGACTAGCCCCCCCAAATCTCAACTAGGAAGTAGGTGAACTAGAGCTAGAACCCACAGATACTGAGATGCATCATACACTCAGCCTTGGCTCGCAACCTCTGCTGTCCCTTAGGGTCCACAATTCCTGGACCTTTATCATCTTCTATAACTTCTCTGGCTTTTTGGTAGAAGGCACCTTTCATACAAAGAGCCACCTGCTGCATAAAGGAACCTCTCCTACCAGAGAAAAACAAGGGCAAGAGCCCAGGCCTGGGAGGCCATCCACTGGGGGCCACACCACATCTCAGCTGCACAAGAGTGTGCTGGAGGCATGGACTAGGCTGCAACTTCCCCGTCCTCTCCTTTCAGCCTGCAAGGAATCAATGCTAATCAATGTAAACAGGAGGGGAGTTAATTACAAGGGGTCGAATTCAGCTCTGCCCTTTTCTATAGAAAAGCTCCTAAGTAAGTCACTGCCCTTAGGATCTCAGCTTTTTCATCTGTATATTAGGAACTGGTTGGTCATCATGCCTCATTCCTGAATGAGGACCTAAGGGAAAGATGCCTATGAAAGGAAGTAGGAATTACTGTTCTGGAGCCCTATTACCAGCAGCCTGACCTTGGTCATGGTAATGTTGATGATTTGCGTTGTACGCCGACGAGCAGACCGGGTCTTACGGCCAGAATCCAAGAAGACATCCCCCAGGGAGTCTAGGCTGCTCTCCAGAGGGGCCTGACCTCGAGCAGGGATGGGGGTGAAGTAGAGGCTCTCCAGGGATTCCACCTTGGGGGGCAGGCGCTGGGAGATGGGTGAGGCTGGCTCTCCAGGGATGCTTGTGCCATCAGGCTGGGTACGAGGCATCTTGCTGTGGAAAAGAAAACTGCTCAGGCATGCTTCCTGGGTTAGCTATCACTTTGGTCCCCAGTGGCCATTTCTTGCATTTATTATAAGCAGAGGTTCAGAAAAGCCCTTGGCCTGGGCCCAGCCTTCAGTCCACTCCTGGGGCTTCTAAGCCCTCCATACCAGTGATTCCTGGGTCTCTGGGCTAAGCCTGCTCTTTAGGGCTTAGATATCCCATGGAGGCCACAGCTACTTCACAAACTAAGCCCATCGGGCTGGTCTTCCTCATGCTTCTCCTGTTTCATTACGGGGGCACACACTTGCAAGGCCCCAGTCCTTGAATAGAGACACAGTCGTCCTTCTGCCAAGCCATTGCCACACTGCCTAAGCAGCTCTTCTCTCCATGCACATGTCCTTCCTTGGTCAACCTCGCCTCCTCTTACCTAGACTTTATAAAGAATGGCATCTGAGAGAGGCAGCAGAGTAGTGGCAAGGACAGACTTGGGCCATGCTGTCCAGGTTTAAACCCCAGCTCCACGACTGTGGGACCATGGACAAATGAATGGCCTGTATGCCCCAGTTTCATGTGTTTAAGGAGAAATGACAAGCTACCTCAGAGATTTGCTGGAGAAGAAATGAAGTGCTTAGAATAGTGGTACATAGTCAGTAATATAACTGTTTAGTAAGAACAATA